TATGAAGGGTTTGAAGAGGCTGCTCCGTTGGTCTGGATTTGTAGACTGGGCGCACCTCCACCTCCTAGGCCATTTGTACTCAGTGGGGGCGGGGCTGGTCGGCCGTTCGGCATGAGGGCTGGCTGGGATACATTCTGCTGACTGCCCATAGGAGTCGCGAGATGCAGCCGTGGTGGTGCTGGTCGGCCTGACGGGCGAGGCTGAGGTTGGGGTTGGGTTTGGATTTGAGGTACTTGGGCGGGGGCGACATTGCCATTCACGGGTTTGGCGCTAGGTGAGGGGGGATGCCTAAGGTGAGCTTTGGGGCTCGTGGGCTGCCGTTATTGTTGCGAGCGCCAGGAACCGGTGGACGAAGGAGAGGAACAGGGGACGACATGGCGAGATTGTTTTGCCTTTCGCCAGGCAAGAACAACTCGTTCGGATCTGCAAGAGTAGCCACAGTGTCGACCTTAGACCAGTCCGCCTTGGGGAGTCCTGGGGGAAAAGGACAGATTGGAGTGAACAAAAATACTGTAGATGGTAGAGCAGATGTAAAGACAAGGACAAAGGCACAGGCAAAGACAGAAGTAGGGCTAGAAACAGAAGCAGGAGTAGAAGAGATAAGGTAGAGAACAAACGAGTGGAGTTGGAAGTTACCGAGAGATGCGGCAGGTGACCTGTTTACTCCACCATATAAGAAATAAAGGTAATCCTTCGTACTTTGTATATGTCAATTATTCCGTAATTAGAGTCTAATTCAATCGTTTATGGGACTTGGAAAACTCTTGATCTTCTGTAGAGAATATTAATAGAGCAAGACAACGGACAACATAGGTCGGGCTGTGGTGGGGCCCCTACGTTTCAGAAAACGCCCGAGCTGACACACATTTGTCTATGATGGACGGAGTACGATGTACAATTATTAGATCTCTTAATTTTTGATGTTGATGTTGATTTAGTCTGGTCTCTTCTTTTTGGCTGATTGTTAGGGAAATCAACAGAGAATTCTCTAAATATCAAGTACCATGGTTCATGTTTCTCTCCCCCTTTTCGATTCTTATATTGATGTAGTAGTAGGCACATACATATACATATATATATATATATATAGCCCTGAGGATAGTACTTCATAGCTAATAAAAAAAATACTACATAGATCTATGTCAAATCTTCTTGTAGACTTATCTTGTTGCCTTCGAGCCGCAATAATCAACAGGGCACACTCACAGGCAAACTGTGGCGTCGACATCATTGCCAACACATTTCAAGGTACCCCCGCCTAAAGACTGGCCTATCACAGGCCACATAGGTCTTCCCCAGCCTTACAGAAGTACTGAGCTTTTCATCCAACATTATATGATGCAATATCCAATTATATGTAGTAAGATTCAATTAAATTACGAGGGATGGCTAATATATTTAACTATCTCTTAATATGACATTGAGGGGCTAATTATAGGGCTATTTCCAGGCTAAGATTCTTGGGTGTGGCTTAGCCCAAATCTGTGTCCACGCAATGGGCCCCGATGATGACATGGACCCCGAAACCCTAGCCGATCCGTAGTAACATTCCAAGGTCTCCATATTCTTCCGAAATTTGGGCGTTAAAAGATTTGCTGTCGAAGCGTTGAATTCCAAGGTGATTGAGATTAGAAATTCTTGCTAGGAGATTCGCCAAGTCCTATGAGATCAGACACCATTGATCAACTATTCCACTGCTGATAGAATCTACGGTGTACATACTTTGTAGTACTGAATTCTCTTCCTAGACCTCACTGGGACCAAAATTGGATCGAGATTTACCGGGGCTTGTCTTGAATGAAACCAATGTAAGATATCTACAAAGTAGATTGATTTAGCCAATACTATGGAAATAATATCATGACTGTCAGACAAAATCGTATGCTTATCTTCAAAAAGCTTGTTTATATAGAGTACTAATAATCCTGATAACTTATTAGTGGTGATCAATCAAAAACAAACTGAGGCATAACTGATCACCTTACTATCTGGTGAAATGTGAGATCGAGCCTAGTTGGGATCTCACCGGCTCTTCACGGATGACTATGTCAACAATAGAACCAATTAACGACCATGGCAATCGCCGATCTATGATCATTGAGAGATTTGTGACGCCACATTTAAAAGACAATGCATATGTACTTTGTAAAGCAGCCAATTCTTCCGATATTTTCAAAACAGGCTATATTGAATAAGCTTCCGGTTGTCATGTTAGACTGTACCATCGAGACCATTGTGGTACGAAAAAAATTATCTTCGCATGTTGTGTATCTGGATTCTGTATGGAGTATTTTATAAAAACAAATTCAACGAGTCGATTATCCTTCTCGGTGTCGCTCGCTTGTATCATTGGCGCTAAAGATGACGTGCCGATGCTGATCGGCCGGGTTGGGTGATAGATGAGTTGACTTATCGATGTGACGAAAGTGGCAGATGAGAACAATCTCACATCAAAGTGGAATTGAATCTTGGGTGGGCGCTAAAGGCATCATGCTACAACGTAGGTTTGTTGGTGCTTTGTCAGTGCTCAGGTGGGAACAAGCCCTATGGCATTTCTTATATCAAGGGTCACGCCATGGAGTAGTAGAAAGTCGATTTAGGTGTCAATCACGAGTCTCTCGACTTGGCCAATATGAGATCCATCTTTCATAGTGCCGCGCAATGATCAGGAAATGTTAAAAGAAACGAAGATGGTAGGGTATGTCCTTAGACTCCCAGAATGCAGTATGAGCGGTGAGTTAAGGCCAAAGCCCCTTCCCCTGACCATCAAGGATTCAAAGACCATGCCAAATAATGAAAAAGGTCAAAGATATCCCACGCGATAGGCAGGATGAATTTCGGAAAAAGTCCAGGTCCACTCAAATCATTATCCCACGAACACCCCTATCGCTATAACATAATGGTACTCATGCTATATATAAAACACACTCCACCAACGCAATAATTATACGGAGTAAATATCCCACAAAGCTAATTATATCTAAAGATAGTACGGAGTACTTCCGTACCTAAGATGAATATGGGGTTGATAAGAGCACGACCATACAAAGTACGTTGGAATAGAATATAGGCCCGATCTATTGGAAAAGGGGTCATGAAGCGCAAGAATTCAACAGCGGCATGTGGAGTCTGGGGACGCCACGAGGCCTACGGAAAACGCTTTGTTTGAATGCATAACCCCTATCATGGAGTCGGGACAATGAATTTAGTCCAAAGTCAACAGGCATAAGCACGGGCTCAACGATCATTGGTCATGCAACATAAATCGTACCTGGACTAGGCTGTTTAGTCCATAGGTGTGCCCTGACTTACCCTGGCGGTCGAACCGCTCCGGTAGTCTGATCCAGGTCTCGACGCAGGAACAGGATAAAGATCGACACGCTTTGACACTGTACTTTGTAGGTTCCAACCACATTCATTGTACGGAGTAGTCCGTAGATACTTTGTATGTTGTACTCCGTACCTATTTCCAGGATATCTACTCCATTCAAGCAGATCCCAAAAAAAATCGACTGTTTGGCTCGAGTGGCTCGAGTAACCGGTGTAACGGATATTATTGCAAATGCGCCATGTCAGGAACATCCAATCACACGGCCAGACCCCGATATTTTCTCAAATTGCGCTTGGCGCTTGGGCACTGACTTTCCACATTGCCCAGAACAGGGGCATGAGATGCAAGCATCGTCAAGCAATGTATGGAGTACCTAGAAGTAAAAAATAGTGCGGTCTAGCCGTTATGGCGTGAAGCGAGACTTTCCCGTTGCGGGGACAATTCGCAGCAACTTGAGCAGTGGCGTTGTTGGGTTTATTGGCTGGTTTTACTATTAAAAACATTTGAAATTGTCCGAATTTATCATATTACAGCAGTTACTCCGTATACGGTGGGAATATGTACAAAAAGGCAATTCTAAGTAGGTTATATGCCAGGATACATGGTCAGTAGTCTCGGACGACGATATACTCGGTGCCCTGGAGGACACAGCACAGTCCCATATATTATCCACAGAAATCGGATATAATAATAGTTAAAAGATACTAAAATGTAAAGGCAATACGGAGTACTCGGTACATAATCCGTACGGATAATAAGTAATAATACAAAGGGTGTCTCGGCCATTCCCTCCGACACAGAAATAGAGAGTGTTTGGGTTCCATGTTGAGATGAACATCCGGAGTAAGAACCAATCCGGTTTCTCAAGTAAAGTGCACATCATCGTAGATTCGCCCTTGCACAATACGTTCTCTTGGCGAAATAAATGGCGGGCTGTTCAGGGGTAAGTGGAGATGAGAAAAGACCCACGGGGGGAAATGTTACAATTGGGACGCCAGGAACGGGTGGTGGATCGGTGATGTGGTCTGAAACATTACTAGAAAGAAAGAAAAAAAACACAAAACAAAGTAAATCTCTAGGGCTGAGAGAAGACAAATGTGTAGATGATATTACTATTCAAGTTATTACTATGGAGTATGTATATATGCTTTGATATACTCCGTAGCAGTTTGATACTCAGCCAAAATGTCCATGTCTTAAGATCGTCGCAAGTTAATAGAAACACAAGCGGGTCAAAATTACCAAGCTGGTAATGAGAAACAACCCCCTGGCAATCGATCCAATCACAGAATTGAATAAATGAAGGCTGTGCGAGGGTTAAGTTCTTGGTACATGACAGATTGCGGTGTGTGTTAGTAGTGGATTAGGTACCCAGTACAACGGTCTTTGTTGCTTTTCCCCTTTTTTTAGGGCCAAAACAACGAGAGACAAGTGGCTGCTGATCTGGACACTAATCTCCCCGTTCATACAAAGGCTCCCTACCTCCCCCGTGCTGTTTCTGTTTCCTTCTTTTCTCCAAGTACATTCTTCGCAAAGCATACAGTCACTCTCTCTCGACTTCGGTCATCCACTCTTTAAACAACACTCACTCTCTTTCAAAGAAAGCTTCGCTTTTTACATATACCTTTTTGAACATCACTTTCTACGTTTTTCGTACATAACATTCAAAATGCGTTTCACCACCGTCACTGTTGCCTTCTTCGCCGGCCTCGCCATTGCTGCCCCCGGTGCTGACCAGACCGTCTACGAGACCGCCGAGGTTACCATCACCTCTTGCGCTCCCACTGTCACCGACTGCCCCGGCAACAGCGGTGCTGGTGTTGAGCCCACTGGCTCCACCACCCCCTCCAGCATCCCCGCCGCTGTTACCTCCTCTGTTGCGGTCCCTGAGACCCCCGAGGAGACCCCCGTCTGGTCCTCCGAGACCCCTGCTTGGTCTTCCGTCCCCACCTTGGCTCCCAGTGCTCCCGCCCCCAGCGCTCCTGCTCCTAGCGCTCCTGCTCCCCCTGCTGTCAACCCCCCTGTCTCCTCCACTGTGATTGCCATCACCACCTGCGTGCCTACCGTTATCTACTCGACCGTCCCCGTCGGCCCCAGCTCCGTGCCCTCCGTCCCCCACGGCCCCACCGGTGGTGTTCCCCACGTTCCCTCCAGCAGCAAGGGTGTCCCCACTGGCACCGCCTCTGTCTACCCCTCCACCACCTCCCCCGCCTTCAACGGTGGTGCTGCCCTCAGCGGTTCCCTCGGCTTCGCCGGTGCCGCTGCCGCCGCTGCCTTCTTCCTGGCATAAATGACTTCTTCCGGGTTGATGATGCACTTCTACACCTAGTTGGATCCCCTGGGTCTCGCCCTGGCGTAGCCGTGTCAAACTGGAGTGGTTGATTAGAGGTGATGTGAGAAGAGGATTGTGTTATATAGGGTTTCTCGTGATTTGCACTTAACAATTGTTGCTTTCTGACTGGATATGTCTATCCTTTTTTTGCTTTTTGATATACATATTTCTTTTTATTTCTTCTCGGGCTTTCCTGGATAGCTTCGGAGTTGTGCGAAGCTCGCTTGGTGGCTTGAGCACGACCTTAATGTAAACCATGACAGCTTTTCACATTCCCTCTCTCCAGCGCCCGTAGCCTCTTTGGAAATTATCCTACTTTTGTACATCCATAATTCCATAATTTGCTTCAAACAACATAGCATTTTGGAATCTAGTAGTACTATTATTTATCATTTGATGGACAATTCTCCCGTATTGCCTACATTCCCTGCCCCTGACTCCACGTGCCACCTGTAATCTCGTACATACTTCCTAGGGCTGAATATGCCACGACTTTGAATCGTAAAGCCAACTGGGTGGCTGATCTTTGGTATTCAAATTCAACTCCTCAATCCAACCAACTGCTGTTAGTGCTGACCGCAAGTTCACACTTGAGTCTGAATTGCTGTGAGCGTCACAATGGCAACGCTCATCCACGATTTAAAATCAACTCCACTAAGGATATAACTATATGGATATATATACTGTTGTCTTAGGTGCATACTGAGCTCAAATTAATTATCAGTCCATGTCAACACACCGGTCGAGATCATGCCTAACATATGTTTCTCTTAATGGCTTCTTACCCACTAATAGTCATGGGCAGGGTTCATCTCCCCGGGCATTCTTTGTGGTTTGCTGTCACCTCTGAGTCTGTTATAGTCTCTCCTTCCCAACACTTGCGAGCTCGGTGTCTTCCATTCACATAGATGGAGTACACTACGGAGTATAAATAACTACAATATCACATATTATAATCGAAAAGTCGAACTGTTGACACCTATACTCTATATTTCGTGGTTAGTTCTTCTTTTCACTTATGGCTACAGCCTCAACAGGGAAGCAAAATATCTTTTGCAATACATATATAAACAATCATGGGAGAGGACATCTAAAAAGTCTAAAATGGACATCGCAAGGTCGCATGAGTGGCCGACTATTTTTGTACTATGTATAGGCATGAGCATAAAGGCCGTAGACAGTAAACAATTGGCAGCCAAAAATAGAGACCCTCACTACTCGTGAACCCAGTGGCCGAATCTGTAACCAGCTTGCTCATTAAAGATTGAGTGGCTCACCCTCCAAGTGTTCTTTAGTGCCACTCGGACACTTCGGGCAAAGGAAGGAAGAAATGAATCAAAGCAGTGTTGATACCCACTATTCTCAGGCCTCAACACATATCGTACCCGAGCCCTGAATATGGGGATTTGTGAGCTACGGCCATTTCTTATTGCAGTCTAAGGAGTACCTCGGTAGACTTGGCCTTCGTGAAGGGCCTACTTCAACTAGAAAGCCCGAACAAACCTGTGAAAATGAGAAAATGCGTAACGTTGCGTAGATAAATTTGGACCCCAAGTTTTATCCTGAGCAGTTAATCAATTTTGGGACTATGATGGCTTGCCCTTGATATTCTTTGTTTTGTACTTGTGGGACTCCATGACCATTGTCCCGAAAGGGAACGGTATAATTTTGCTTTGGGATAATTGATTTTCTATGATGACTCCTAAATGCCTGATAGACAGGTAAGAACAATGAAATATTATCAGTGTTTTTGTTTTTGTTTTTTTAGCTCTAAGAGCATCCTTGCTATTACACTGCCTATGAATCTGGCTTTGATTAGCTCCCTCTTTGTGTATACCCTGCACAGCGTGTATATTCCCCTTCTCTGGGAAAAATTGGATGCCTTTATAGACTTATCCGCCCTAGGAAGGAGCCCTTGATGCCACGTTCTAATATATTCTAGCTTGGGATACGAGCCTTCCGTGATGGCCCACTATTGAATCCTCCCAGAGCACACATAGTTCATATCTAAAGATAGTATACTAAGCTATATGATATACCTATGACCTACTTGTCAAAATCCTTATTGCACCGCGCGATGGGTTTCTGTCCATTTCAGCGACGAGCTTCCGAACCTCCCAAACCATACTCCGAACTCGACTATCCTCTCATGGATCTTTCATCCCTCGAGGGCGCGCCGATGGTTAATCCAAAATTCATTGTTCCACCAGATACGATGACTCCTCGTGTTCATAAACACTCGCGTGCATCCATTCAATATTTGCTTGCAAAACCTCTGCCACCGAGTCCCACTTCAACGGACGCTATCTCGCCAACACCGAATTGTACCAGATTATATGACTGGTCACACAACCGCTCTGCAGTTGGTGGCAGACTAAGGCGGGCTTCGGCCCGTAGACGCATACGCGATCAACCGGATGAACTGTCTCCTAACGGCGACCCGCAATATGAACGCCAGGTGACCCCACGCAGAAAACACATTACAAATCCTCCCGTACGACCACGGAGCTTTGTGCCTCTCACTTGGCTAGAAGATGAAAAGAAATGGATTGTTGGAGAGATATATATTCCCCATACACATGATTCTCGGGCTCAAGATGATACGGCGTCTTCCCGATCGGTGGGCTCACCAATTTCGCCCGTTTCACCAATTACACCGTGGCAGGATGTCATTCAACGGCTTGATGAGCACATCGATTTAGATAATCGCCTTTGGCAGGAGAATTTGCTGGGTCAGCCCCCGCCGTTTGATAGACATAGCTTTGGTCAACCACATGACACAAGAGAAGATAGGGTGTCCAGCTGGGTTGCAGCTACTCGAAGGATGCATGAGGATCGGCGGAATTGGATGTGATTGGGTGTGGTACCACTCTGCTTGGTTAGCGTTATGGCTTTTCTGATATGTCATGGGAATATATTGGCTCGGCGCTTGACTCACATGATATAGATAGGCATTGGACAATGCAGTTCTGACTTCCCTTTTGAACCATGTAGAAGAACCCGAGCACCGCTTGTAGAGCAAGGGGTGACCGCATCTATCGGGTTTGATCCCAGATTGTTCAGCTCTTGGGTTGGCTAATTTATCTCAATAGCGTAAAGGGTATCGTGATTTCAGATTATAAAGCTATATTCCACAAATTTTGTATCTTTTCCACTCGTCTGTTCTGAGAGCATAAAGGACCCATCCCAAAAGAAACCTCTACTATATCCTCCCGCTACGACAGCTTTTTGTTCTAGACGAAGTCATCCAACCCCCCTTGACTCCACAGTATAAGCAATTCTTTTGTATCCTCGGTCACAAGATTATCAAGTAGAAGGACAGTGACAGTGATATCTATATCTTTCGGAGCTTCACCTCGTTATCCTATACATCGAGCGTTTATCGGGAGTTTACCTCTTTTGCCCACTGCTATATGCATGCTGACGGGGCTACCTTTGATAGTGGATGCAAAGCGAAATATTCTGATAAAATACATGAATTAAGCGTACAAAGACCGAATTAAATATTGTAGGATAGAGATTGGGTATCAGAAGCTTCCCCATCTTAGCCAGATATTTCATTGGTTGGTTATATTAGAACAAAGAACACATGATGGCTTTATATCCTTTGTCGAGGAATCAAGCGAAGGTTTCATGTAGACATAGACTCAGCCCGGGGCCGTGTAGACTAAATCAAAGACAATACAAGTCTATTCCAACAACAAAAAGACTTTGTTCCACCTATATCTGAATTCCATTGTATCTAGATATTCGCTATATAAGAGACCTCATCTCAGGCTTGTTAGCTAGAAAAGAATCCATCACAGTGACAAAATAGAGTTTCTAAGACAGCTTCACAAACAAAGCCCAAGTTCCCTCAAGTCCCATTCAATCGACTAACCCATTTCAGCAAACATGGGATAGTACAGTGTATTCATCATACCCCCCGAGTATTTGGAGGGCTTGGAAGGGTTAGAGGGGATTGACGACGAAACCTCGCTCAACGAAGGTCTCTTGAGAGATCCAGAAAACGACAGTGCTCACTGGGCCAGCGTGATTCTTCCTCAAGATATGGAACATACCCATTCCGACGAAGATATCATGAGGTATGTGGTTCATAACTTGCGAATCGGGCGAGCCCTCGTGAGCGCATCGGCAGAGCATAACCGAGGAAAAATTTGTATCTCTCTCCCGATCCCAATTAGCACTACTGATATGGCCTCAGTCTTGCGTCGCGCCGCCGCCGATGCGAATAGGTGGCTCGAATTGGTCTATGGTGGAATCGTTCTTCTTAACCGGGAGGTGATTTTTGGGCGTCAGTAATGGGCTGTCTAGCCGTAGCACTATGGAGAGATATTAACTATATTGCCAATACTACGGAGTAGAGAGATGGTCATGTGAGAAATGTGTGATAGGAATATAAAATTCTTTTCAAGCTCGTCTGTTATTGGTCCTTCTTAATATTGGCTTTTAGATCAAATGGCGGAGATGCCGGCAACGAAACAGGGGGTCAATGGGCCCATCTCCACTATCAATTGCAATATCGAATTTATTTCCTGTAGGTTACCCTCAATATTGCTTTGCTTATGTGATAGTGTAAACGATCTTTTGTAAACTTCACTCGAAAACGAAATGATTAGCGGAAATTCCGTGAGGAGCTAGGGCCCTATAACAACAGCGTGATATAGTAGCTCCAAGAGAGGGCATACATATGTACCTTATGGAATAGTCCTGGAGTTATCAAAGGAATTTGTCATTCTGCTATTATACCTCTGTCACTCTCCAATCATTTTTTTTGCGAATTCTTTATAGCTCTTTTTGAGCTTTAGTACACTATGTAGACTTCCTTATAGTACTTATTTTTCAGCTCCTATCTGTAGGTCAGATGTCTGTAAGTCAGATTCACTTATGTTGATATCTCGACACTGCAAGACCAGTGTTTCACCTATGTTTCGCCCATAAAAGACGTTTGTATGCGTATTAGACAAGTCCTAATGGAGCCAAGACTTCGCACTCGATACGTATAAGTATACCCGTATATCCCCGCATACGGAGTAGAGAGCCGAGATATAGCTGGATTGGGCTCAGCGAGATTGGTGTGAGTAATATCCAGACAAAGTGCAGGGATTCCCCTCTCCGAGACGCCAGTCACGGCGCTTCTGTATGTCTGTCACCCGTCAGCGTAGAAAACTAGCAAACTGCATATTGGATCCACTGCTCCACCGCGAGTTATCGACAGCCTCGCTAACCACCCCTGCAGATTCTGTTGAGGGGGTGATAGGATCGAAGGATGATAATAAGAAGAAGGAAGATTCTCGAATCACTTGGACTTGTTTTTCCCTCCCCCTCGCGGCTGGGTATCATCCCGGTTGAGGACTGGGTGACTCCATTGCTCCAATTCTTTTGCGCGCTAACACAGACCAGCAGCTCTCCAGCCTCTGGATTATTTGCCAGCCAGTAGCAAAGATGGGACGTATGATAGAATAATAGAAAAAAATATATATATATTATAAGAGGACATGCCCGACGACTTTCTCAGTCTAGTTTTCACTCTGGCATTAAAGCATTAAGGCTACTACCCCAATCCGCAATCAACATTCCGATTCTTTTCTGAGATTAATATGACAGGGATCAAAGATTGAAACAGGTATGGCTCAGACTTGAATTGAAGAGCTTTCTCAAGTCCAAAGTTGAAGCAAAAACGTTGCGAAAGTTCAATTTGATATTCCATCCCCCCCATCCGTGGCTCACACACCCTTGGAATCTCCCCGATTCTACCGCCTTCGATTAGAAGAAAAAAAAAAAAAACTCCCTCCCCACCCCCAATGGTCCAACTCGCCCACATCTTCAAAAAGGACAAGGACAAGGAGAAGACCGAGAAGAACAAACCTGATATACGTTCAACCCGATCTTCCTTCTCCGCTTCGCGCACGTCTCCGTCTCCGAAGTCGCCCTCCAAATCCCCAACTAAGTCATCTACCAAATCTCCCTCCAAATCCTCCTCCCCCACCAAACCCTCCAAACCTGCCAAACCTTCCAAACAATCCTATTTTTCTCACAGCCGGTCATCATCCAATTCCGGACCGACCGCCAATTTCAAGTTTGCCCGGTCTTCGCGTGACCAGGACATACACCCACTCAATCTCCCACCCGACGAACTACATCGACGATTGTCCGCTATGGCAGCCCTCAACGAAGAGCAGCGGAGCTCAATGGATATTGATTCCCAGGAACCTCAGAAGAATGGCGTGAATGGCACTGAGGAGCGAAGTCCGACCCCGCCACCGCACCAGCCGAACTCAGCTTCTGCCGACGAGGCTGACTCCTTCAAGCTGGCCGGAAACAAGTTTTTTAAGGATGGCAATTATCGACGAGCGATCGAGGAGTACACCAAGGGTATGCACTTTCTTATCTCACAGAGACGCCGGGTCTCATGATATAGCCTTGAATGAGCGGGGTCGCTGATGATTTTATGTCTACTGCAGCCATCGAGATTAATCCCAAGTCATCGGCCTATCTCTCTAACCGAGCGGCGGCCTACATGTCCGCTAAACAATTTGTGAATGCGCTTGAGGATGTTGAGCGCTCTAACGAGCTCGATCCTAACAACCCAAAGATCATGCACCGATGGGCCAAGATTCTGACGAGCTTGGGCCGACCCGCAGAGGCCCTAGAGGTACTGTCACGTATCCAACCACCAGCCACCGCCACCGACCGGGCAGCCGCAGAAAAGATGCTGCGCTTCGTTACGCAAGCTGAAGAGATTATAGCAGAAGACCGGGGTCTGTCAATGGTGATCTATTGTCTAGACCAGGCACGACAAGGGCTCGGACAAGGTGTCAGGGAGCCCCGCAAGTGGACACTTTTGGCCGCCGAGGCCCACCTGAAGCTGAACAACATCAACTCGCTAGGCAAGGCGCAGGACATTGCGATTAGCTTGCTGCGAGAGAACAATCAGGACGCGGAGGCGATGATGATCCGTGCCCGTGCCTTCTATGCCCTCGGTGAGACTGAACAGGCGCAGAAGCTTCTGAAGATTTGCCTCGGGCTGGACCCAGACATGAAGCCGGCCATCAAGCTGCTGCGTATTGTGCAGAAGCTGTCTCGCACAAAAGAGGAAGGAAACTCCGCCTACAAGGCCAAGGATTACCGTCGTGCAATCGATCTTTGGGCCCAGGCTCTCGAGGTTGACCCCTCCAACAAGGATATGAACGCCAAGATTCTGGGTAACCGTTCTCAGGCTTATATCAACTTGAAAGAGTATGACGCTGCCATTGAAGACTGCACTGAAGCTCTCCGTCTTGACCCCGGCTATATCAAGGCTATGAAATACCGTGCCAAGGCCTATGGTAAGGCCGGTAACTGGGAGGAGGCTATTCGTGATTATAAGAGCGTTGCTGAGAACAACCCCAGCGAGAGCGGCATTGCGGAGGAGATTCGCGAAGCTGAATTCGAGCTGAAGAAGTCCCAACGCAAGGACTACTATAAGATTTTGGGAATCGGCAAGGATGCCAGCGATCAGGAGATCAAGAAGGCCTACCGCAAGTTGGCTATTGTATACCACCCAGATAAGAACCGCGACGGTGCAGCGGGTGATGAGAAGTTCAAGGAAATTGGTGAAGCCTATGAGAATTTGATTGATCCTCAGTAAGTCCGCCACAACTTTGAACACTCGACACAAAGCTAATTTTGTTTCCAGGAAACGCGCTGCTTTCGATAATGGAGACGATCTGAGGGATCCAGCTGATTTCCACGGCGGCGGTTTCCATGGCGGTTTCCACCCCGGCTTTGGCGGCGGCTTCGGCGGTGGTGGCTTTGGCGGCGGCGGCGATGCTTTCGGCGGCGGTTTCCCCGGCGGTGGTGGTTTCAGCGGCGGCGGTGTCCAAATCGATCCCGAAATGCTTCGCAACATGATGAACGGCGGCCATTTCTAGATGAAGCCATCCAACCCATTTTATTCACTCGATACCACGACTGATTTTTTTTCTTCTTTCGTCTCAAGATGACGAAACCCCAAGACCGGAATTCGCACGCCTTTAACCGGAGTTGGAGTTGCAGTGCACCTCAATATCTTACATATTGATTTGTTGGATATTGGGGTTGCACTTTTTTTTTGTTCACTGCCATGTCACGATTTTTTTTTTACCGTATTTCTGCGGAGACGCCATATGATTCCCGATGTGATAGATCTGAAAATTGTTTTCTTCAGTCTATTCTTTTCTTTGCCACTTTTCCTCTTTCACCCTTGTGGCTGCTTTCAGAGGATTTTGTACAGGAGTGCTGCAACATGGAATGAATATACGAGAAAAGTGCATTTATGGACGATGGTTTTTGAAATCCATGTGTACGGAAGACCTACAAGCTCTACATCCGATCAACCATTCTCGGCGTTTGTTTAGTATCTTATTTCTCTCTTGGGTTTTTGCTCTTGACTTTGATTTTGACTTATGAATTAGAGATTAGCTTCGCATGTTTTGGCTTTCGATCCACTTTGTGGAGTTACCGCTTTTGTTTACATATAGGCAAAAGGATATGCGTCGTATACACCTGCATGAGACTCACAGAACAAAGATTTCTCTCAGATATGATTCATTCTCTTATTACTCCGTAGCTTCATGAGGACTGTTCCCTCTAATGCCTACATATATTTAGTAGATCTCGCATACGAGATTCGAACTGGCATACTCGGTCTATGTTTCTCTTCACTTGTCACAGCAGTTTTACATTGATTAGCCTATGATATCAAGTTTGAAGAACAATCAAGGCAAGCGTACAAAATTATCGATTCCCCAACAAAGACGGCACTTGACCGGAGGTGAGCGAACGCTAACCAGCAGTGACGTTTCCATTGCAAAATGCCAATTCTGGACCATTGAAATGTATGCATTGAGTCTGGAATCGCGTATAAGTTCTAATACGGGATATTTCAATTCAACATCACCCTTGGACGAGGAGAAAGCTGACCTGGATCGATCCTTACAGCCAGGACTCGGCGAGGGCTCGTTAGGTAGAGATGCTGTGTATGTTAGATACGTGGAATGGGTCTGGCGAAGTACAAAAGGACCTTGAGAGTCAACCTTAGGTCAAAGAGAGGGTGGCAAGAGCTTGGGTTCGAACTATCTTTATTAGAGGTATCTTAGGATGGATTGCGCTGATATCTGAATATACTATATCTGCCCCATTCGTCCGGCTCTCTGAAGTGGAAGGATAGAGCTCTCTCATTGCGCATCTGTCTTATGAAAGGGTTGGTAATGCTATGTGTTCATGATAAAAATATAAGCAATTGTAATGTTCTGTGATATGTACTTCTTCTCAACATGCTAAACAACTGTACTAGTAAATATAAAACAAATAAATCAGGGGAATCTCCAAAAAAAGGGGGGGGAAAGACAAGAATAGCGAATGAATATACCGGACAGAAGAGCATATCGCAAACTTCGCCGCTAATGAGTGATGTCGGTTAAGTCGAATCGAACACAATAAGGGCCATATAGAGATAAACAAAGAATATAAAGAAGATGCAAGAAAAATAACAAGGACGCTGGCATAACAGGTCTTCAATCAAACATAACCGAGGGCACTGAGCATAGTTTTGCATTCAGGGACCGGCAGAGCAGAGACACCCAGCGCGCGAACCAAAGCACCAGCCCGGAGCCGCTGGAGACCGATGGCGACCTTCCAGGCCTCAGTATCTTGCAACACAAAGACATACTTTTTGCCTTCTTGGTCACGGACACTAGCGCGGAGAACGTGCAAACCACGAGACCCCGCCTGGGGCGGGTGAACAGGGCCGCCATCATGACTAGCAGTAGTGCTGCGAGCAAAGTACGCACTGGGCGAAGCTAGACGGCAAGTATTCTTGCATACTTTAAGCAAGTTACTGAGAAAGGCCTCTGATTCTTCGTTGGTAGGAACGTTGTTCCCTCGGCGGAAAGAGAAAGGGCTGCCGGTGGCATTTTTGCCAGATGGAGTCGCGTTTACCTGTGGACACCACACCTCCGCCAGCTTGAGGGTCCACGCCTTGACGTCCCACTCACGCTGACCGATGCCGCGTAGGTCATCGTCGATGAAGAGACCTTCGGTTGTGATGCGCAGCACTAGCCCATCTGTGATCATACCCTGGCCTGAGACAAGTTGCGCCACTGGGGTCTTCATAAAGGCATTGTTGAAGGCGTAGACACCTTGGATCACAATCTTATCTGGATCCTTGGTGGAATATGTACTGCGATGTGAGGGGGGAGGTGTTGTGCGCGCAGTTGAGTGAGAAGGTGTATATGAAGACTCGGAGGATACCGAAGTGCCAGCCGCATATGGTCGTCTTGGTCGGTCGTAGGGGCGAAAAGAATACGCATCATCGTCGTTGGCGGTTTTGGTGGTTGAAGAGGGTGCTGGTTTCTTGGGAGAAGGCGTGCGAGGCGCATTGCCAGTACTGGCTGGCTTGGGCGGCGGTGATTTGGCGGCGGCCTCGTTCTTTGCGTCTTGCGCCTTCTTCTCGGCATATTTCTTGCTTGCTGCTTCCTTAAGCGCCGCAAATCTAGCCATGGCTTCTTGCTGGGCTTTGGCCTTTGCGGCGGCTTCTTTCTCAGCAGCTTCTTTGGCAGCCTTCTCTTTGGCTTCAGCTTCCAGCCTTTCGGCTTTGGCTTTCAACTCAGCTTCGGCCTTTGCCTGTCTCTCCCGGGCCTCTGCAGCTTCCTTCTCCAGTCGATCGCGTGTCTCTTTCTCTGCAGCTGCCCTTGCAGCGGCCATCTCTCTTTCGAGCTGCTCACGGCGTTCCTTTAATTCTTTCTCCAATGCTTCGCGCTCACGCTGCTTCTCTTTCTCTTTGGCCTCTGCATCACGCTTGCGCTTAAACTCCTCCATCTTTCGGCGTATCTCCTCTTTGCGCCTCGTTTCTTCTCTTGCTCGCTCCCGTTCGGCTTCTTCTTTGGCCCGTTCCCTAGCCCGCTCTTCTTTAGCACGCTCCTCCCTAGCACGTTCCTCTCTGGCGCGCTCCTCCTTAGCGCGCTCCTCTCTAGCTCGCTCTTCTCTAGCACGTTCCTCCTTAGCTCGCTCCGCCTTGGCACGCTCCTCTTTAGCCCGCTCTTCTCTAGCACGCTCCTCTTTAGCCCGCTCTTCTCTAGCACGCTCTTCCTTAGCTCGCTCTGCCTTAGCACGCTCCTCCCTAGCACGCTCCTCCCTAGCGCGTTCCGCCTTAGCACGCTCCGCCTTAGCGCGCTCTTCCCTAGCGCGCTCTTCCCTCGCCCGCTCCTCCCTGGCACGCTCCGCCTTAGCCCGCTCCTCCTTAGCCCGCTCCTCCTTAGCCCGCTCCTCCTTGGCCCGCTCTTCTTTAGCGCGTCTTTCAGCCTCCTCCTTTTCACGTTTGTTATTATCAGAGTTTGGAGGAGGACCAGAGCCATGTTGATTACCGGAATATTGATTGCCGTAGTTTTGTCCTCCACCAAAGTTTTCTCCCTGTCGTCTTTGCTGACCCGCCCCGTTACCACCATAGTTAGCACCGGACGACTGTTGGTTGGTGTTTGGACCGGCGTTCCTAGGGCCTCCAGGGCCCCCAGAGCCGCCACCGAAGCCACCAAACCCGAACCGGCCACCTCGAGCACCGCCATTGCCTTTATCGTTTCCCGAGCTGCTGGACTGAGCGGAGCCAAAAAGCCATCCAGCGACACCCACCCCAACCGCAATTACCGCCATACCCGTACCATTGCCACTAGCGACCGTGGCTAGATACCATGCCTTCACAATTGGGGAGATGTATGACCAAACGAAACATGCGAGAAGTGTGCTTGCGACGCCCGCTAGGAAACTGTTTCGGTTGCACTGCAGCGACGGAAGATAGAGAAAGCCCGAGCCAGCGGAGTGAGGTGGGATGATAAAGATGTCGTAGTTGCCATCTGGGAGGTCTGAGGATTTGCGGTATTCGCCTTCAGTAGTATGGGGATTTTCGCCATGAGGCGGCGGCGGTGGTGGCGGACCCTCGTCCATGTTGGATCAGCCCAGAGCGACAATAGGGTTAATATATATGCGACGTAGTGCAGCGAAGCGCAGCGTCAGTCGAAGGACCAACTACAACCTGGGTCGATCTGCCGGATCAATCCTAGATGGACAAGTTCTCGCGGTTAAGAGTCAACTGCCAGGTCATATTAATTTGACAAGTGTCGCACTGAGGCCTCAGGCACTCAGTGCTTTGGAGGGTCCTCAGATGCCAATCCAAAAAGAAGACACACAGCAAGGATCACAATCCAAACAAGATCCAAATCGCAACGTAAAAAGTTGAAAGTGCGGGAGAATCTAAGTCTGACTGGGGGCGGGCTGTTTGGAGAGAAGTGTGGGAGCTAAGGATCGGCGCCAACGCTTCCTGCATCACTCGACGTGGCCATCACATCAAAACAAAAATTGACAATGCGAACGAGCAAACGAACAAGAGCTATGCCCAGCTTACTTGATGCGGCTCCCTATCTATCCGAATTATGTTGAATTCCTCGGGAGGCCACGAGATTTTACATAGGGCTATGTATCCGAACTCAGAAACAGCCTCAAGGGATGGAATTCAAGAACAATTACAGTGAAATATTTTGCATACAGCAATGGAATTGTTCAAAGCTATGACTACACAAGTATTCGTCCTTAAAAATATGTCTTTAAATAGGTTTTTTAAAACTGCAAAGGCATCAATGCTCAGAGTCCTGTTAACATAGCAAAAGTACGGCTGTTTTGTTTTGATTTTACTATTTTGGGCAAGGGTTTAGTTCTCGGGATTATCGTTACTCCGCAATTCTGACCGCTTTGCTCTCCGCTTTCTTGGTCTACAACTGTTGAGAGATGAAGTAGGAAGGCGTTGGTATCAGGAGGAAAGCGAAGGCCTAGTACTGAGATACAAAGATATATGTATATTCTCTCGTACGCTACTATATCAATAAATTCTACGTCAATTTGCGATTATTTCCCTACTCTTTGGTCATGGCGTATTCGTATTCACATTCAGACAGCTTGAGCCTCTTCTCTACACTACACAGTATGTATTATTATTACAAAGAGCCGGAGTGCTTCAGATACATGTTCGCATCATTTTGGGAGATCCAGTCAGGCGAGCTTCATATAGTTTATACAAGCGATTGTCATTGCTGCGTACTTTTATACAATTACGTATCTCGACTCTCGAGCTGGCGGCCAGTGCAGAGAACATTCGGCCCAAGCATGTCCCTCAAGTGGTTTGGCCCCGAATATAGCACTGGGGGCGGAGTGCTAGAATTGTTGATCCTACGGTCAAGCGGTTGGGGGAGATAGTTTGAACATAGTGGGTCTAAATATTCATTCGAGTTGGAGGACGTAGCTACTGAGGCTTGTTCACTGGATTAGAACTGATAGTGTGGAGAGTATAAATTAGACACCGAGATTGGGGTGAGAGCTCATGATTCAGAGAAAAAAAAGTGTAGCAGTTATATGTCATGGTCATCGTCCACAAGTGTTGGGAGAGCGCCATGATAGATGTCCCATGATCGGGACATGAGGTGCGGGACCATGACCAGACAGGAGAGGACGTTGGGAGTCATGAGAGGCATTTAGGGGTCATCCTGGCCCACTTAGACTATGATAAACACTGGATATTAGTCTGGTAGTGGAACAACGTAGTGAATGTAGTCCAGGAGAAGTGAATAATGTGAAAGACAACTCGATGGCGAGGAACAAGACTCGGCAGAACGTGATCCGCAGCCGGTGATTGGGTGACCTTCCACTTGAGATTCCAATACCCTCTCTCTCTCCATCGGGGTGTTGATCGTCTTCTTTCTATCTCACCTCAGCTTCAAATCCTGCTGTATCCCTCTTGTGATTTTCTGGTAGTCAGGTACTACCCCGTGTCTCCACCTCCCCGCCAACTTGTCCTTTTATTCCTCCTCCCAGGCACCTATCTCCGCCAACCTTGAAACCCCCCAATCTCCGTTTGACTCTCTATGCCGTGTCGCTAGCTACCTAGAACCAATTTACGACCTGCCCTTGAAGGGCATCCCGGTATCATGTCCTCACAGCCCCACCACGGTCATTCCGCGACGTCACGTCAATTCCCCGTCTATAATCCTGTCGCCGCAGTGGCAGCACCTGCGGGGACCTTGCTTCCGGGCACCAAGATTCAAGTCGGCAGCCATCGCGTGGTAGTGGAGAAGTACCTCTCTGAAGGTGGTTTCGCTCATGTCTACGTGGTGCGATTGCCTCAGCCTGTCAATGGGTCCGAAACCGCAGTGCTGAAGCGGGTGGCCGTGCCCGACAAGGCGGCTCTTGCCAACATGCGTACTGAGGTGGAAACCATGAAGAAGCTCAAGGGTCACCGACACATTGTGAAGTATATTGATTCGCATGCCTCGCAGCTGCGCGGAGGTGGATATGAGGTGTTCCTGGTCATGGAGTACTGCGCGGGTGGTGGTCTTATTGACTTCATGAACACCCGGCTTCAACACCGTTTGACAGAGCCGGAGATTGTCAAAATCTTCTCCGATGTTGCTGAAGGTGTTGCTTGTATGCATTATCTTAAACCGCCTCTTCTCCATCGTGATCTGAAAGTCGAGAACGTTTTGATCTCGGGCAAGGGGAGTTCTGCCACTTACAAACTGTGTGATTTCGGGTCATCGGCACCCCCTCGCCCTGCTGCTACTTCTGCCGCTGAGGGCCGCTTGATTGAAGATGATGTGCAGCGGCACACGACGCTGCAGTACCGAAGCCCAGAGATGATTGATGTCTATCGAAAGCAACCGATTGACGAAAAGAGTGATATCTGGGCACTCGGTGTGTTTTTGTACAAACTATGCTACTATACAACCCCCTTCGAAGAGGTCGGTCAGATGGCTATTCTCAACGCGACCTTCAAATACCCATCCTACCCTTCATTTTCGAGTCGGCTAAAGCTGTTCATTGGTAAGCTTGGAACTTCTATTTGGCCTATAACCGACCATCGATGGCTAACAGCTCCGCACAGGCTCAATGTTGAAAGAAGATCCCCGCAATCGCCCCAACATCTACGAGGTCGTGCGCGAGGTGTGCAAAATGCAAGGAAAGGAAATTCCTATCAAAGACGTATGTCTCCCTACTCTTCTTGTAGTACAAACTTGACATTGACCATCGTTTAGATCTACTCCCACCGCTCTGTCTCGGAGGCGCGCAAGTACCAGGAGCTTCCGCCTACACCCACGGAAGTTCCTGCGGCTGGCGCAATATTTTCGCCTCCGATGCAGGAGACCGAGATAATCCCAGAGATTGCGCCTATGCGGCGTGGCCGACCAGGAAAATCTCCGTCGTCCCAACATACATCTGAGAGACTGAGTGCTTCACCCTACCGAGCCGCTGCTGAAGGTTCGTCAAATGATCCATTTGCAGCCCTGGATGGGAGCGCAGCCCGAAAGAAGACAGCGGAGGAAATGTCAAAGCGATTCCCCTCATTGGACCAGTTCGACATCTTGCATGAAAAAGGAGATAAGTTTGAATTCGAGCCAACAGTAGAATCCAAGCCCGAGGACGAGGATTTATCTCGAAGACTCACGAACGCCCTAGCCGATGATGCTTTTGCCCGACGTGTCTCGCCCGAACGTGCGCCTAAGCCAGTCTATCAGCGATCGTCTCAGGCTTCTCCTACCCGAGCACCTAATTTGCGTGAAATTCCCGCGCCGCAGGCTGTTCCCTTGTACCAGCCAACTCCTCAGCGGCCCGTGATGGTGTCGACGGGTACCATGACTTCACCCATCGAAACACCTCGTTTACCGGAGCCAAAGCTGTCCAGTCGCCCAATCTATCGATTCCCTTCGTCTGATAATGAACACCGATCTCCCAACCAGCAATTTACAACCGAGGAGGAGCAAAGAGTGGCACGACCGCACAAGGCGCCGTCCCCTCCGATGTCAAGCGTGGCTGTGGAAGGAAGTTCGGTGCTGCCATCTGACCGTATATCAAGTCAGCCTAACTCCGCGCGCCCCTCGATGGAAGCCTTGAGACGGCCCTCGACATTAGAGGTAAAAGATCCCGTGGGACGTTCCAAATCCGCCATTGGAAAGGCTCGGCCGATGTCAGTTCACTCGGGACCGAGATATGATCTGCCCCGTGACTCTGACAGCCCGCGGTCGTCGCTCGATATGTCCCGTCTGCAATACGAGGGCGGCGCGCCACTACGGTCAGTGCGTACCGAAGTGGATCGTGAGTATGATCGGACTATTTCCTCTGATGTCGATTACCTACGCGCGATGGAAGAAGAAGAGAGCAACCGGAAGCGCGAGAAACGTTCTAGTGGTAGCCACAAACACAATAAGCGCGGTAGCCTGTCTACTTTGTCTCTTTCAGGAGGCAAAAACCTGTTTGCTAGCCGATTTGGCGATGCATTTCGCCGATTCGAGGCAGGCAACCAAGAAAAATCCTCCTCGCCATCGGCAGAAGATGCACCTCGTCATGGTCTGACTGGGGTTTCGGATTCAACCGATGAAGATCTTTCGCCAAATGACGAAATTGCCTTGGAAGACGTGGACCGGGATGACATCTCTCCAGAGATGCGCCGGGAGCTGGAACGCCGCCGGCTCTCCCAAGAGGAGAAACGAGTTGCCAATGCCGCGGCTGAGTACCGGCGCCGGGTAGCTGAAATGGGTGACGGGGGTGGAAGATTAATGGGCGATGGCCCTCGTTCCCGCACGATTCAGAATAAGGTGCAGTCATTGCTCGGAGAGGCCGAAAAACCGAGCATTCCAAAGACTGCTACTGGGTATGGACGGTTCACGGAGACTTCCTCTTCTTTGCAGGCAAAGCAGAGTGAGATCAACCCCGTCACTTCTACCCAGCTGCCGGCTTCCCACACATCTGGCCCGATCTACACTCCTCGTGACGGTTCAATGGCCCTCCCGGATCGTCGAGATGGCCCCAATATCTCTGCTGGTCTCCCGCAATCTGTCCCCCCTACCAGTTACCCAGCCACGCAACGTCCCGCAAATCGACCAGCTGCACCACCAAAGCCCAAGAATTTGCGTGCTGGTGCAACCACTTCGCGTCCAGGTACTAGCCATGATCATGGTTCTCCCAAAGAGACTCCAGCAAGCCCTGGAGAGGACTGGGAGGCCAAATTCAGCCAGCGTTTCCCTAGCTTGTCTGGACTCGAGATGGAGACAGAGATTAAAATCCCGAAAATTTCTAGTTTGAGGACGCGGGAAGTGTAAAGTATAGGATACAAGTCTGGTTTGTTTCACCTGATGCGGTTTCAGCGTGTGTTCGTGTGAGCGCAACTCGGAGGATGACATTAGTTCCCACGAGCTATGCATATATAGACAGTGACATATTGGACATTACATAATTTCTCTTTATATGACACCAGCTTCATTTTCCGTAATCGTAGCTGAGAGCGCGCTCGATCTTACTAGTTATGTATAAAGGTTGTATACTTCAAATTTGTCCCCACACCGCCTTTGTTTCTCCCCGCAAGAGCAAGAGAAACCTCACTCTCAGTTATAATATAGGCCGAGATCTCTTTCAATCTATCAGATCATGGCGCCAGTGACTTTGAAAACGGTCGACGGTGAGTTACACGCAGCAGGTAGCTCTGAGGATACACATGCTTATTCCTCACGCAGATGACCTTAAAGATGTGATCCAGCACTTATTCGAGATCCAATCTGCCGTCCACGGCTATCTGGGCCCAGAGACACAGCAGGAGCTTGTGCGAAAGATGTACGTCAGCCACACTGGGCATCGATTTCCCTCTCAATTCCTCTATGTCCACAAGTGTTCTCCATCAAAGCGAATTTCTCCCCGACAAGCAAAATCACTACACCCCAACCTTACATATCACCTGAAACTAATCCAGTCCAGCAAAAACCTAACCCTCGCCCTCTCGACCCTGTCAACACATACCCAACTCCCGCCGACGCAAGAAAACCAACCAGAGACAAACACCGACCCCTCCAATCCTTCACTCGCCAGCATCCAGCTCCCACCAGAGATCATCGACTACGTCGACTCGGCGCGCAACCCGGACATTTATACGCGCGAGTTTGTCGAGCTTGTCCAGCGTGGGAATCAGGATCTGCGCGGGAAGCGCGAGGCCTTTGCGAGCTTCCGCGACGTGCTGGCCCGCGAGATGCGCAGCGCTATGCCCGAGTGTCGCGGCGAGGTTGATCGCGTGGTTGCTGCGACGGGTGGGGCTGTCGATGGACCTGATGGCGTTCCTGGAGCTGCAGCTACGTCTGGGGGTGGGAATTGAAGATCCTTTGATATGCGCAAGTCTGATATTCCTGATTTGGTAGACTTGCCTCTCGTTGGCAGGGGTCGACTTCGTGGGCTGAGGTCTAGTTCAGCCTCGATATTCGGTCTTTACCTTCAGCCATTTGATGTTCATGGAGCTGGTGCATTTATTGGAGTTTCTATGGTTCGCATTGAGCGTGTCATTTGCAAAGCTTTTTCTTTTCTTTCTGTTGGCGCGTGTAGTATGATAGTTTATTGATCGTTAATAGTTTAAGCGCTAAGCCTAAAGGCGTTACTTGTATATAGTACTTATTCAATCTCTTTATATACTCTAGCTAATATCGCTTCTAGAGCTAGCAAAAAAACATGCAAAGCAACGTACCTATCCATAGTTATATTTACCCTACTCAATAAATAAGGCTATGAAGTCTGTGGCTGACGTCATCGGATGGAGATGAAGCAAATCTCGGAAGAAGAGTTTCCGGACCTCATAGCACAATGCCAACTCGAAGGAGTCGATCGGCTGCAGCGTGTGTCCATTGTCGCCAAAAAAAGGTGCGTAATACGGGCCTTTATACGGAGAGTTGGAACTCATTACCGGATTAAACAAGTAGTTAAAATGTGATTCCCAGAGGCCCCAGTGTGGGAATTGTCTAGCCAAGAGTATCGATTGCCAACTAGGGGCGGTCCAGAATAAGCCAAGGTACAAATGCGATCCTTACATTCAAACTTCAAGTTGCTGATGCTTTGCTCTTTGGGCCAACCAATCACCGCATTGCGGAATTAGAACAGGAGAATGAAGCCCTCCGACAGAAATGTGCTCAGCTCCGGGGCAGTAACGTCACTTCTGTTGGCAGGGTGCAATCGGCGTCGGAACACTCTGTTACGTCGGCAAACAGTCCATGTACCCCATTGCCGTTCTTGAGAGTAGCGGGTATTGGCCTCGCGCGGAATGACTCTCCTTCCACTTCAACTAGAGATGCATCACACCCAGAAGTACCGGAGAACGACCGCAGAAACACTTCATTGTACCATGGCCCAACAAGCACAGTATATGACGATACAAGTCCGAACCACGGCGAGCAGAATAGACCGGGTCAATTCAACGAAGAGGGAACACGACATTTTCTCTTTTCCCAGACAGCGAGGCAGAGCAAGTCGGATCTTATGCAACACTAAATCATGGCATGGTACTAATTGGGTAACAACAGGACAGTTAGAGCCACTTAATCTTGCTGCTGGAAAACTCGACTTTGATGGCGTCGATCCGGAGGCCGGCATGCATCTGCTCTCCATATATTGGAGTCGTCAGCTTTACACAGCACAGATAATTTATCGGCCAGCTTTCATGCGAGATATGGCTTGCGAGGGACCATACTTTTCCAAATTGCTGTTGAATGCGATATTTTTCGTAACGTCAAAGCACTGCGACCGACCAGAGCTTCGTTCCGACCCAAATGACATTACGACCGCAGGATGGAAGTTCCGGCAACGCTTCACACAACTTTTGCGAGATTGCTTCGACAAGAGCGAAATCACTACCCTCCAGGCATTGTTGATTATGTCCAATGCGCTTTTCTCCAGATGTGATGAAAGAAGTCTGTCATGGCTGTATGCTGGAAATGCATTCAATATGTTCATTGATCTTGGTCTGCATGTGCTTCCTGCTGTGGATAGTATCTCTGCCGAGGAACTTGAAATTCGAAAGCGAGTTCTCTGGGGAGCGTACTGTGAGCCCTCATTTATTTACCAAGTATTGCTCTACGCATTACCTCTAACTTCTCTTATAGTAATTGATAAGATCCAGTGTCTTTTCCAAGGGAGACCTCCGCTTCTCAACCGTGTTAACTTGAGAGCATCCCTAGACTTCCTGGATGATTATGACGAGCTTGAACCTTTTCAGGGTATTACATACATGACTACCAAGCCTCGAGAAGTGATTCCATCCATGAATGTTTCTTTGCTCACCAATTTATGCAAGTTGACAACAATTGTGGAACGTGTTCTTCGTGAGATTTATTCAGAATCTCGAGAGTCAAATCTGGTTCACAGAGCAAATATATCGGAGGAAATCAAATCACAGCTGAGGATCTGGCGCCAAAGTTTGCCAGATCAACTTGACTATCTATCATTCCCAGACCAGGCGGTTCTGCTGCCTCAATCCGCCTGTCTTTTGTATGTTCTTTTACGCCAATCAAGACTAATGGATAACTGCTGACTATGGGCCAGGGCTTTATTCAACGTGCTTATCATTTTGGTCCACCGCCCTCTAATAATTGGCCACGATGGGATCACCAATTCAACAACTGCCCATGAGTCAGTGAACGCATGTACAGCAGCTGCAAACCAAATTGTTCAAATTCTCCATGACTACTCGCAGCACTTCTCTCTGAGCAGTGCGCCATACATGCTCTCATACGCTACCTATATTAGTGCAACAGTCCACGCACGGATCGTTGCACAGAAAGGGAGTAACTCAACCGTGTTCCAATCATTGGTTCTTTGCCGAAATATTCTTTGTGAACACACGCGTCTATATTCCGCTGCAGAAAAGGCCAGGGAGAATTTGGATAAGTTGATCTTTCACTTAGGGATCAGTGTTGCAGACGACAATCAGCATACTGGAACCCCCGGGAGCTCTGCAGGCAACTTTCCCAACGAACACATGGTCATTGATGAATCTATTAATGTTGCAAGAGAAATCAGTGTCGCAGATCCTGCACCTGAGCTTGGATCTTCCCTGATGAGTTTGGAATTATCGGATCTGGATCTTGAGGCAATTGCTCAAGGTTTTCAGGTTGATGTAGAGTCACATTCGTTCTGGAATTCTTTGGTCTGAACGACTATACCATCACGATTTATGTCATGAAAAATAGTGAGACAAACTAAAATTTGCATCTGTAATAAAAGTGGCTCCAATGGCATATATGATCATTAGCTACCATGAGCCCCAGAGACAGAGCACCAACGTCAGTCACCTACCTTTATCGCTACATAGTTACCCTGCGTTGTTGAAAAGTCTGACTCATGTGAATATTATTGAACATCATATTGGAAAATCAATTGTGTCATATTCTAAGAGATATAATGGGATCCGGGTCGTCGCATCCCGAGGGACAAAAATCTCGGCTTATCTCCGTGACCACGCGGGGCATTTCAACAAACTGTACGATTCCAATGATTCGACGCCAAATAGGCTCGGAAAGTGTCTCCCGACTGCACTCCGCATCTTTGAAGACAAATGAGGAGCACGCTATATATAATCCATGGTCACCCCTCACATATAATGCTTATCCCGCACTACCCCAATTTATAGTGCACCTATAACACTATGGCGTGTTCTGAAAAGAAGTCCTGCGAGGGCTGTTCATGCAGCAACGATGTCCAACCTCAATCAATCAACATCGAGGACTGTCTGAGCGAGTTGCAGGCTCTGCGACGCCGCAATCAGGAGTTAGAAACGCGCATGGCAACCAGAAGCGAGACAGACAAGGCCCAAATCCCCGTCAAACAACCAGGACGAACTCTTCGTTCGTCAGCATGGTTTGACTGCCGCAGCAACCCTGGTATGACAGCTATCTACATGGAACGGTATTTCAACTACGGCATTACCAAAGAAGAGCTCATGTCTGGTAAGCCGATGATTGGAATTGCTCAGACAGGCTCTGATATCGCGCCTTGCAATCGCCATCACATTGAGCTCTCCAAGCGTGTTCGTGAGGGTATATTGGCTGCTGGCGGTATTCCATTCGAGTTTCCCACACATCCTATTCAGGAGACCTCGAGACGTCCTACTGCTACCCTTGATCGTAATCTGGCGTATCTTGGCTTGGTAGAAATCTTGACAGGGTACTTCCTTGATGGCGTTGTGTTGCTTACCGGGTGTGACAAGACAACCCCGGCTTGTTTGATGGCTGCGGCTACGATGGTGGGTACCAGACCCGACAGATTCATATATCTATGCTGATGTTTCTAGAATATCCCTGCTATCTGCATGAACGTGGGACCTATGCTTAACGGTTACTCCAAGGGAGCTTTAACTGGAGCAGGCACTGTATTGTGGCACGGGCGAGAGCTCTTCGCTACGGGCGACATTGACGAAAATGAGTTTATGGACTACATTGCCCGAGGGTAAGCCATTTCTATATCCACGGTTACCTACCACGGGATCTAATACAAAATCCAGTACTCCATCAGTCGGCCATTGCAATACAATGGGAACCGCTTCAACAATGAATGCCCTCGCAGAGTCCTTGGGAATGGCACTCCCCGGGTCAGCCGCCATTCCCGCTGCCTACCGTCACAGAGCCCAATGCGCCTACGAAACGGGCAAACGAATCGTGGAAATGGTAGAGGCAGACAGGAAACCATGTGATATCATGACACGCGAGGCATTCGAGAATGCTATCGTAGCAAACGCTGCCATCGGCGGTAGCACGAATGCCCCTATTCACATCAACGCTATCGCGCAACACGTAGGCGTAGAGGTGTCTATGGATGATTGGGATACCTTCGGATCTACCATCCCGCTGCTTTTGAATATGCAGCCCTCTGGGGAATACCTCGGCGAAGAATACTACCGCGCTGGAGGACTGCCGGCTATTATGGCTGAGTTATTAGACCAGGGCAAACTGAATGGCGACGCGCTCACTTGCAACGGCAAAACTCTTGCCGAGAATGTCCGTGGGAAACATACATGGGATCGGCGTGTCATTAAAACATACGACGATCCATTGATGAAAGATGCTGGATTCGCACATTTGAAGGGCAATCTCTTCGACTCTGCAATAATGAAGACCTGTGTCATTTCGCCCGCCTTCCGGAAGCGATACCTTTCCAACCCCGATGACCCAGAGGCGTTTGAGGGATCTGTTGTGGTGTTTGACGGACCCGAAGACTACGAACATCGCCTAGAGACCACGCCATATATCGACGAGAAGACCATCCTTGTTATGCGTGGTGTTGGTCCAATTGGGTATCCTGGAGCAGCAGAGGTCGTCAATATGCATCCACCAGGCCGACTCTTGAAAGAGGGTATCGATGGACTGTTCTGTATCGGAGATGGCAGACAATCTGGAACCTCTGGGTCTCCTTCTATTTTGAATGCTAGCCCTGAGGCTGCAGCAGGAGGCAACCTTGCTATTTTGAAAGATGGGGATAGACTTCGCATTGACTTGCGCAAACGGCGGGTTGATATTCTTGTCACCGATGATGAGATTGAACAAAGAAGAAAAGAATTAGGTACCGAGGGATACCCCATTGTCCCGAGCGGTACTCCGTGGCAGGAGATTTTCCGACAGGAAACGGATCAGCTCAGCAATGGTATGGTGCTACGAAAGGCAGTCAAATATCAGCGACTAGCCCAAGAAGGCCAGCCACTGCGCCATAATCATTGAGGGTATTTGATTGAGCAATCGCCTAGGTTAAGTTTTCACTTAGCAGAGAATCATTGAGTGTAAATATCGTATATTATCTATGTATCAAGCGGTCATTTTGTAGGAACTAAGTTTTTCGCCATTATTCTATGATTTTACGGCTATCCATTTCTAATTGATAAATGGTCCTTCTAGCTACAACTAAGGGACAAAATACACCTACAAGAGACATCAGAAAAATATTTCTAGAAATACTGCTTCAAAGGTTTAATGAGTCCACTCCTCAGTGTATGCGGCTAACCTCTACGAAATCCACTGCACTCATCTTGGAACGATATAATAATTAGGCACAGCGGAGAAACTTTGGCATTTAAGAGACGAAGATACCGAAGAAGATGCATTTGCGTGTGACCAACAAAAGAAGTATATCACTAGAGTCCAAATGGATAAGTTTCGCCCTTTCCAAGGGGCGTGTAGGGCTGAATGACTTCCAAGGGTTGAACAGCCTTGGTCTCATCAAACCAGACATAACCATCAAACTGTTTGTGAAGCAAAGCTTGCGAGTAGTGGGATGCGCGCTCTGTTTCAGGGCGGTAGATGACACCAATAAAACGCTGAAGGCGTTGCTCAGCCGCGAGAGCTGAGCGCAAAGAGGGATCTATGCGATCCTGACGCAGGTCGAGCACAAAGCTCGGAACCTTAGTATCATGAGCCACAATCTCCCAACTATCGTCCCGGGATGGACGGACGGCCATGATCTGCATATCATCGTCCCACTCATGGGCTGCTGCAACGGTGCCAGTGTGAGTGCCGCATCCAAGAATGGTCACATGTTCGCGTCCCAGTCGCTCTCGACATAGTTGTCCGATGTTGAGCTCCTTGCGGCGGAATCCCATGCTTGTATAGCGCGCATCCCCAACGTGGGAATTGTGTGCCCACACAATGGCTTTTTCTCCCTCGTTGTGCTTTAACAGGCGCTCCAGGGTATCAAACATATGCATGTCGCGCAGGTTCCATGAACTTGCTGAGCTGTAGTACATTGCTTTGTAATACTTCTCCGCATCACGAACCAGGTGGGCATTCTGTTCGCCGCTGTGGTATTCATCGCCATCTCGTGAACCGATGTATTCAAGCCGCCGCTCCAAAAGGTCTCCAAGCATCTTCATCACTGGAGCTTCACAATCTTCCATGCCCCGAAGTGATGCTAGACCATACGAAGTAGGATCGTCGACCCAAGGCTCCAGACACCCATACCGCTGACGCGCTTGCTTGCTTGCCTGTGGATCTACCCGGTCCAAATAGTCGATCACAGCACCGATCGAGGCACCCATACTATACAGGTCCAACCCGTAGAATCCGGCTCTTTGCTCTGGTGGGAGAGCCTGGTTTCGATCACGCATCCATTCAACTAGCTGTTGCATCTCAGAATTTCTCCACATCCAGGTAGGAAATCGATTGAATGGTTCATATCCCTTCGCACTTCCTCCAATTTGCGCCTTGGGACCTGGACGCAAGCGCACGTAGCGGTCGATGGCCTCTGCGTCCGGCCAGTCTGCTTCCACCGCAATCATGGTGTAGCCGTGTCGTTCAATGAGTCGTTTCGTAATCTCTGCGCGTGCAGAATAGAACTCAGATGTTCCATGACTACCATCGCCCAGAAGGACCACTTTGTTACCCGCAAAGGTATCGAAATGTGATGAGAAATTCTTATCCTGGATTACAGGCAGGGGCTGCACTGCCGAATTAAAAAGTTCCTGTAGTTGAGGCATCTTTCTCGGAGTTCGGAACATAGATGCCAAGCGCATGAATGGTTAAGCTGTGGTTGGGGGTGTCTTCATATGGAATATCTCACGTAGATGAATGTCAAGTATTGAAACACCGGAGATTAGCCACCACATTTCTATTCTTTTTTCATCGATACAACATGTGCTCTTTGTTCTCGGGAATTTTCCCAGCGAATTATTCACCTCCCAGCAGGTAAACAGTCATCATGACTTCATCGTTGAAGGCAAACCACAAAGCTCGAATTCCGATGGTAGTAGAATAAATGACATCTGGGAGGAAAATTGATAACAAATGCAGTGGTCAAGATTGCTCTTGTTAAAACAGCAGCACACTGCTAGACAAGCCCTCATTCATCTCAACAACCACACGTGTGTCCATCCTGTTTCGAAGGCACGTACCTCGAGAATGGCTCTCCCAATTTGCAGTCCATCACCGCGCCTAGACCGCTTCGGACAAGCAATGGAATCTCTTTATGGGAGTTTTAGCAGCATCGAAGACCCAAAAGAGTGGACTCCACCACCAAGATCAGGCGGTCATCGGGGGCGATACCTATGGACAGATGCTTTTGGGGTTGTCAACTTTCTCACAATGCATACTGAGTATAAGCGAACCGGCAATGACACCATTGGCGACGACCGTTATCTGGTATTGGCGGCTCGTCTAGTTGAAACTGTCCATG